AGGAGAAGGAGAAGGAGAAGGAGAAGGAGAAGGAGAAGGAGAAGGAGAAGAAGAAGAAGACAGTTCCTGAAACCACATATGGTTTGTAGGAGACGGGATTAGGCAATGGTACCCCAAACCACTGAAAAAAGCAAAAACAGAAGATATGGGACCAGTACCAAGGTGGGTCTGTTTAAGTCTTCTTGGAAGGCCTGCTAATGTGTATAGAACCTGCAACCCTTTGGAGCTATCCACCCAACTTGAGGTACTCTGCATGGTTGGGGTCCCACCTCAAATCTTCTGGAACTCAGACTTAGCCTGAAAAGCTGCAGTTTGAGTTGGGTAGGTATGATGGGTGTGAGAATGTGGGAAAGAGTGGAGCTTTTAGTTCAGAAAGGGAACAATAAAAGATGTAACCCTGGGCTTGTTTCTACATGTCCCAAGTCTGTGGATAAAACAGAACAATAAGCCATTTATTACTCCAGTAATAGATTCTTGCACTTGGTAGAGGTTAGACTAGAGCAGCAGTTCTTAAAGTGTGGTCTGGGGACCCCTGGGCCAAATAATGTGTCTCTACCTACAAAGATCAGAATCGTGCAAGCCATGCTGTTCCCTGTGACACTCTATGGAAGGGAAAGTTGGGCTTTGAAGAAGCAGGAGCGGAAGAGTACTGACGCTTTTGAACTTTGTGGTTGGGGAAGACTCCTGAGAATACCATGGACAGCCAAGAAAACAAACCAATGGATCATCGAAGAAATCAACCCAGAGGTCTCACTCAAGGCACAAATTGTCCTACTTCGGACACCTTATGCGAAGACCCAGCTCTCTGGAGAAGGCTCTGATGCTGGGAAAGGTGGAAGGGAAGAGAAGAAGAGGATGACCAGCAGCAAGGGGGATGGACTCAGTTACAGTGGTGATGGGGGCACTGTTGGAAAAGCCGAAGGACCAGGTTAGGGACAGATCATCATGGAGAAATTCTATCTATGTGGTCACTAAGAGTCAATACCTATAGCACATAACCATCATTGGACATCGAGAATCTCAGGTCTGCTCCCGCTGTGTTAAAAAAAACTTCAGAAAAGTAATAAAGCTTCCCTGTGGAAAAAAGAAGACTGAAAAGACTATTTCTGGCACTCGAATGCTATAAAACATACATGACCCAGGCCCATTGACGAGAACAATAACCTTTTTTGTTTCCATTAATTCTATAGCAAATGAGAAACAACCAATTATTGTACAACACCAATTGACATGATGCAGCAGTTATGAAAAATAAAGAAATGAATAATAGAGGGGCTGGATAAACACAGATGGTGTGATATTTGATGGCAACTTTTGAATCAGCTGCTTGCCCTTGCAGGAACAGAAGCTGGGAGTGGGGTGTGACTATGGAAATAACAGAAGGGCATCATTTTCAGGCAGAGTATATTATTATTATATCCTTGGGGGGAAAAGACACAAGTTTGGCCTAATTGGATTTCCTCCCCCTCCTTCAGTTGCATCTCTCCAACTCACCCATAAATATTTAAATTGCAGTCACGTTCGTAAAGATCTTGATGTATCTATCCACAGGAAATGCTTCTGGAAGCAGACTGGGGCTGCGGGGGGTGTTTTCCTTGAGGAAGGTGTACTTTTAAATAAGCCCTGTCTCTCAACACTCCAGCCCCACCTTCTAGATGGAGGGGGGCAAAGGAGAGTGATTTTGTACGACCTGAATTTAATTTGAGCTGGAAAGTCTGAAATTTGCTCGCGGAAAGTGGAAATACCTCTAATTCTCCCCAGTATCTGTTTGTTTGTAAAACAGAATTTTCTAACAACAAGGGATGTGGTTAGGTTCAAGATGATGGGGGTGCTTCAGGAACCAGGAGACAATGCTTTGGGGTTGTGTTTCGGGAGCAAATAACATTTTCTTTTTCCAGTCCATGCTGAACAACAAGCCATTGTGGAAAGCAAAGAGAATGTCAAAAGCAATATGTTTTGACATGCCATATGGTTCCGCTGCTTGTAACAGATTAAAAAAAGCAAGAATCCAAAGCTGATGGGCACTCAGCCACCATAAAATACCACATTTAGCAAGCGTATCCTTCCTTTTTTCCCCTTGTTTTGCCTGCATCTACTAAATTTAAGATTCAAATTCATACACACACACACACACACACACATATAGATATACTCAAACCTTCACTCTCAGTGAAAGTAGGAATGGAAAGCATTAGCTTGCTAAATTAAATACAGCAAAACTTGGCTTTAACAAATTAGTTTGGGGAGGGGGGTGTCCATTATTCAGGAATGTCTGTTAAATACAAAAGTATGTCATCATGGGAACGTCATGTGAGGAGACTGGTGAACCCAGTCCATTCCGTGTGGAGATCATTGTATCAAGGCCTGCAAAACTGGGGTTTCACTCTATATGTTCAAATATTACACACACAAACAAGTATACAACCAGCCTAAATCAATCCACTGCACTATCGATCACACATTGGTCCAGTATAGGTTGTTGGATTGATATTTCTTGGCTTCGCAGTCAAGGCTGAGAGGGAGAGACTGGCCCAAAGTCCCCCACTCATAGTCACCTTCCCCAGTATATCATACTGGTTTTTCCTCTCTCCACTCCTTCACACGACTGCAGGCAGGCAGGCAGACAGACAAGAATCTCAGGGTATATTAAGGCTAACAAATGTATTAAAGCATAAATCTCCCAGGCTTACACAATGCTTTTGACTAGCATGACTCCCCCTCCATTGCATATGGAAGATTCAAAATCTTATTATCTGCATTCTGAAATTGTTTTGCTTAGTCATCATTTTCTGGAAAACATTCCCGTCTTTATTTCATGAGAGGCTGGCTTCAACCAGATTCTGAGCAAGGTTCTGGATTCCTTCCTCTTCCCAGTTCTGGATCGTTCCATGTTCCTGTATCCCAGCCTGCAAGGACCACTGAGGTACCTGATCCAGATACAGCCAAGAGCCACGAGTCTTTTTCTCAGAGTTTTGCAGTGCAACAGTGAGCAGGAGAAGCATTTGGGCTGCAGTGTGGGTTGCTCAGCTGATGGTGATTCAAATCCTTATCAATCTGAGAACCAACCAGGGAGGTCAAGAAATGTCAAGATGGTGGCCATGACCATGTGATCCCTTTTTTAGCTGCATCACACCTTCTAAAGCCCGTCTGCAGCTTGAAGTGAAGCACCATGCAGGCCTCACCAACATTGCACTGAATAAACCAGCAAGGGTGTGTGTTTCCTGTCCAAAGGGAACACTGGTAGACTTTTTTCCCCATCAACTTTCCTCTTGAGTTTTTATTTCACTAAATTCCTTTGAGGGGAGAAAACCTGCACCAGAGCACGTGCATTGATACTGCATCTCCAATGCTTCCTAAGAAAAGAACCTAAAGGCTTGGCTGGCCTGTACTCACCGCCACCAGAATCTGCAGTGCGCTGTGCATGACCTCGATGTAACGGTATTCCAACGCACAACCGATCACAGAGACGTATGAATGGCTGTCCAGACCTTTGATGCCGATCATGGGTGTCTCCTTCCTTACACAACCAGGACCGTTCTCACTCCACCATGACTGGTGTTGGGAGATGTTGAAAGTCAAAAGTTCACTGTCCTGGGAGAAGAAGTAAAAAGCACAGTAAATAATGCATGTTTAAACTAGAGCTGGAGATAAGTTTTTGCATTGGCGCATCTAGGCTGTTCTTGCAAAATACAAAGCTCTTGTGTTCACAGGCAGAATGCAAATGGGTTCATTCGTTATGCCAAGACATTTTAAAACCGCTGTTTGTTGAATGACGTAGTGGACTGGGGTCATATGCTTGCCAAGCCACAAGCCATGGTGTACAAGCTACGATGGCTGGAGGCAGTGCGATACATTCAACCAGAAATCAAACAAACCACATCAGGGTTAGGGTGATGTGTGAAGCCTAAATTCCCCATGCTGGCTGGGGAATTCTGGAAGTTGAAGTCCACACATCTTAAAGTTGCCATGGTTGAAAAACATTGGTCTAGTGTATGACTTCTTCAGTGAAGCATTCAGCAAACAGTTGAATATTTTCAACAGACATGAAAAAGTAGAGCCTTATTTAACCATCTGCTTGGCCTGGAATTCTCACCTCTGGTTTCCCAATTCTCAACTCTATGCAGTGATCTAAGGCAGCGTTTCTCAACCTCAGCAGCCCCCAAAGTGGGGGGTGATGACAAACCCCCCCACCCCTTCCCCCACCCCACGCACGTCGTTCTTGGT